AATATACATACATAAATATATATATATATATATATATATATATCTATCAATTGCAACGATCATAGTGCAACCCATACATTTAATCGATAGTGGGTCTTGAAAGGCTTGCAAGTTTGAAGATCAATAACAATCCCAACAAATGAACCCAAGCAATTCCTACAATGATGAATAGGTTAAAAATTCATAGTAAATGGAAAACATAAAATATAATATTGTAACATGTTCAATTAAGATTTAAAAAGAATTGCGTGTCTAAAAATCAATAAGGGATTCATTTCTTTTATTTTTGAACGTGTGAAGGAAAATTACTCTTTTTTTTTTTTGTAAGAAGTGAAAAGATAGACATAAAATGTTTTTCTACATATGAACTAATTAATGGAGTACAAATTCTATATTCTTACTAATAAAGACTAATAACCTCTCAATGGCGAGTTACTGAATAGTTCAATTATTTATTAGAAGCTTTAATATGGATTATATCCATAAATTAATAACAATACAATAAATATAATTTATTAATTGATGTTAATCTATAATAATAATAAAAAAATAAAGAATAATTATATAAATAAATATATAAATATATCAAAAAGGGAAAGCAATGATAAGTATTTGGAGGCACATCCATTTTGGTATTTACTTTTGAATAATGTATATCTCCACGGAAATACAAAACAAGGGCCAAAATCCAAGAGCTCCAAATAGCCTGATGATACTTCAAGATTATTTACTAATAATTAAATATTATTTTTATAAATGATAGACTAATTTTTATGAATGTATTTTATGTTAGAAATTTTATTTCTAATAAATATTGTGGACTACATATATTATTTGTAGTATTTATATTAGTTATTTACATTTAGTTGGGCTCAATAAAAGTGATCTAATTTTAGTGAGCCTTTAGACTGCCAACAGGAAAAACTGATATGGGCCCAAATAAGTGGAAACCAGATTTGGCCCGCTAGGGGTTCATGGGAACCCTAATAGGTTTAAAATCATAAAGATGGTCATGGTCCCCAATATGCCAAATCAGAAACACACGTCTCTCTGTCTCCCCATCAGAAGAGTAACATCAAGTCCCATCAAGGAATCTAGTGATTTGGCTGAGGAAGATCATTGCACCAAAAGACTATTTCGCTGCAACCTTTTGATCAACGTCAATGGATACAGGTACGTATTATTAACATTGACTCTATAATCTGAGACAACGGTTCTTAATATTGATAAATGAAAAATTTCTATTTGGCTTAAGAAATTTATCCCAACAAGTGGTATCAGAGCCGCCGTTGTTATTAGGTTATGGGGTTCTAAAGTATATTGTTACAAAAAAAAAATTTCTCTCTTCATTGATAATACGTGTATTTGAATGCGTTGGTCATTTTTTTCTTCTTCTTCAATTTGGTTTAATTGATTATACGGATAAAGAGATCGATTAAAAATTGAATTTTTATTAAAGAGAATTTTTTTGAAATTGTATAATTTTTTGTGAATGTTATAAATTTGTATATGTAACAATTTTGCAATGTCGCCTCCTTGGCCGAAAGAGATCTCGAAAGGGAAGACTTGTAAAATTTAACGTAAGCCGCATCCTTGGCCGAGAGAGATCTCGAGAGGGAAGACTTGTAAAATTTAACGTAAGCCGCATCGTTGGCCGAGAGAGATCTCGGGAGGGAAGACTTGTAAAATTTAACGTAAGCCGCATCCTTGGCCGAGAGAGATCTCGGGAGGGAAGACTTGTAAAATTTAACGTAAGCCGCATCCTTGGCCGAGAGAGATCTCGGGAGGGAAGACTTGTAAAATTTAACGTAAGCCGCATCCGAGATAGCTAAGCCTATCCTCCTTTTACTGAAGAAGACGGAGCAGTTCAAGTGGACCCAGGAGTGCGAAGAATCGTTTCAACAGTTCAAAGAACGCCTCGGCACGCCCCCGATATTGTCTAAACCAATCGGAGACCTAGACATGATTGTCTATTTGGCCGTAT